GTCTGAAGTCTTAGGGGAGCTGCTGGTCTCTGGAGTGTGGCTTTAAAAGGAGGCCTCAGGATGCGTCCCCAGCTCTGGAAGGAGTATACTGTGTTGTGAGTTGAGATCCAGAGGCAGGTCGACCCTGGAGAGAGAAGGGCAAGGTGGGTTGGTAGAGTGAGCTGGAGGCATCCTAGTGGGAGAGAGGAAACTGAGGCTGAGTGAGAGGGAGGGCTTCCCGGGAGCTCGTCAGAGGCCCGGCTAGCTCTAGCCTCACAGCCATTCCCAGGATGGCTCTGATCAAGGGCCAGGTCCCAGATCTTTGGGTCTGTCCACTGGCGTGCTGGAGAGGGACGTGCGGTCTCTGCCCCGTGTGAGATTGGGCGTGGAGAAGGCTTAGTCTTTGGATGGAGGTTTGGGCTCAGGTTGGCCTTAGGGGGAGAAATGGAGGGGTTAGCAAGGCTGCTCCCCAAAGAAGAGCTGGGAGTGTGGGGTACTGATCAGTACTGATTAGCCAAGCCTGGGTGTCCGCTGTCCCTTTCACAGTTCCAGCAGTCTCCAGAAGAAAACCCTGAGTCTTCTTGTCTCACCAGCTCTGGTCGTCTGGCTCCTGACTCCTGTTCTTTTAAAGCTCATCTAACAGTGCTCTGGGGTTATTTCTGGCTCAGGGCCACTTTCTGAGGGACCCTGAGGTGAGGGGGATTGAACCTGGGTTTCACATATGCAAAGTGTGTGCTCCAGTTCTTTGCGTTGTCTTTCCCCACATCTCCTGCCTCCTTCCTGGGGACATATAGGCATGCCGGGTGCTCCCAGTCCAGATTTCTGCCCAGAGCCTTAAAGATCTACGTGACACCCCTGCTTCCTTCATGTCTCTGCCCACGACTCTTTCCCAGGGAAGTTTTGATCTCTGAGAGGTCTCCTCAGTGCCCAAGGCCACATCTGCATACAGTAGGAGCTCAGTAAATGGGTGCTTGAGAGATGAGTGAATGCCCTGGAGCACAGATCTGTGGGTGAAGGTGGATTTCTTGGTGTGGGGTGCAGACAAGAGTCAGGAAGGGTCAGATTTAAGTCCTGAGCTCTGGAGGTTTCTAGAAGTTGCGAAGCTTGCCTCAGGGGGTGGCACCTGTTCAGAGGCAGGGCTGGGGACTGGAAGCATGCCCGAGTAGGGCAGGGAGCTGGAGGGGCTGAGGAGTGGGGCATGGGTGTTCTGGAAGATGGACCTGGAAGGAGCATTGTCCATAAACCCACAGAGGTGATGGTGTTAAGACATGAGTCTGTGGGAGGTGGTTCTGCCATTAGGGTGGAGGCCCAGTGAGTGCCATAGGTGCTGACCCAGTGACAAGGCTCCACGAGGAACCACACTGAGAGCTCACACCAATGGCAGCCATAAGTGGTGCATAACAGACATCTCAGTTTCCTACGACTCCCTGTTTTCTCTCAGTCACCAGGTCTGTGCCATTTCGTTAGGGCAGCCCTGATCCCAGTGTCTCTCTAGATTGGACACAAATGTGCCCTTGCTGATGATTGGGGGTCAACAAACATCTCATGTTTGTTGAGGGCCAGATATTGCTTTGGACCTTTCAAAGTATTACCTCATTGACTTCGCATGTGCTGCGAAGCAGTTCTGTCACTTTCCCCACTTTATGGATGAAGAAACAGAGGCACAGGCACTGCGTGACTTGCCCAAGAGAAGCAAGAGACAAACTCCAGGCATCACCGTACAACCCGATGACTGTAGTTGGTCCTAATGTTAGCCTGGGTTTGGTCTGAGACCTTGTGAAGGAGCATCCTGGGTGGAAGCCACCTGGGTTAAGCGAACAGGAACAGTGTACATCCCTCTCATAGCACTCAGCCCCAAGAGGGGCAAAGGAGGTCTCTTTTTTGCTGCCCCTTTATCTGTCCCATGCCCCCACCTTTCTGACCCTCCACAAATATAGAAGGGATGAAACTGGCCTTCTTGTCTCAGTTCCATCTTGGTGGGGTCCCTTACCTTTGGGGACCCAGTAGCATCTCTCAGGGAGGTGGACAGTCTCCAGCATCCTCCAGCCCATCAGCCCATGGCCTGGTTCTCTTTTTACTAACCTGGGTACTCCTGTTGGCGGGACCCACTGGGAAGCCCAGGGGTCAGGGATGGGATGAGATGGTCCCTGCAGATCAAGCTCCTGAGCTCAGAGCTGGGTGGAGATAGCATAGTGGGGATCCCCTCCCCCATGGCCCCAGGTACTGGATCCATGGGGGCAGTAGTAGACTCGGGTACAATCAGTGGGATTGGCAATGCCTGAGCAGGGGGTACAGATGTTACAGAGGCATAGGAGAGGCCAGAGTGAGGGGGGAGGAGGAGTGGGTAGTGGGTGGTGCAATAGTGCACTGGTTAAGGTGCCTGCCTTGCACACTGCTGACCAGGGTTCCATCCCTGGCATCCTATGTGGTCCTCTGAATGATCCCTGAGTGCAGAGTCAGGAGTAATCCCTAAGCATAGGCCAGGCACAGCCAGGCACAGCCCCCAAAACACTAAAAGGAAAAAAAGAATACATAGAGAGGGGGTCTCTGGAGTGTGGCTGGCCCAAATCTTCAAACCAGGGGGATTTGGAGGAGGTGACCAGCCCTGTGCTCTGGTTGTCAGATTGTCTCATCCCTAGCACAGCGAGGCGGTTGCCGCTTGGGTTCCTCAGAAGCCAGGGCAGAGCGTGGCTGAGTCTGAAGTTCTGCAGGGCCTCCTGGGGTCAATCCCCAGCTGATGCTCTGGGAGTTCTGCTGGCTGATGCTGGCCACACCTTCCTCTATCTCCATCTCTCCGTGCATCCCGGGCTTGATCACAGGGCATGGCACAGGAGCGAGCGGGGCTGTGTTGCCCTCGAGGACCTGACCCCCCAAATCCCAGCGCATCACATGTGCCATCCCTACAGGTTCACCCAGACAGAGGAGGCATGAGGAGGGACATTGTCACCATACTTGCATGACATCAGGGGTAGAAATGGGTGGGGTAGATGTCACATGCAGAGCTCTGTGGCCGGGGCGGGTGTGGTGGTGGTGGTATTCCCATGAATGGAGCTTGGCTACGCATTTTACCTTCTCTCCTGTCTGGGAGGCTCATGAATGCAAATGGTTCTTCTTTCCTAAAAAAAAAAAAATTATACTAAGTGACTAAGGGGCTGGAGCGATAGCACAGCGGTAGGTGTTCGCCTTACAAGCGGCCAACATGGCAGACCCGAGTTCGATTCCTCCGCCCCTCTCGGAGAGCCCGGCAAGCTACCGAGAGTATTCGATATGCCAGACACAGTAACAACAAAGTCTCCAATGGAGACGTTACTGGGCCCGCTCGAGCAAATCGACGATCATCGGGAGGGCCTTTACCTTTTTACCTTTTATACTAAGTGACATTCAGCACTTCAGACTGGCCTTCAGGAAGGCACACACCGGGTCCCCGGCACTTTGTCTGTACTGATCTAGATGCCCAATCAAGCATGTATACAAACTTGTTCATTTTCCTCAGTGGGTGGGTAAGAGGGTGGGTCCATGCTAAGGGGTCCCGGAGCTGGGGCCAGAGGCCACCAGTGTAAAGTGGTCATGCTTTTCCCTGGGTCCCCTGGCAGAGGAGCAGGAGCAGATTCTGGGTTTCCTGAGGTCCAACTGAGAGCTTTGACCAAGAGTCCGGGTGACTTACAAATGTGCAGGGAGGCCCAGGAGCGCAAGTTTAAGTGACCATGTCTGAGGGGTAACTCTGAAAAGGGCAGGAAGTCTTTTCTGGAGGGCCAGAGCCCTGTCCTGTCAGCAACAGGGTGGGGTGGGGGAATGCAGGGCCCCCAAGTACTTACCCCCAGTATCTTATCAAGGGACGTTGGCCCTTCTACCATCAAAGGGCAGCTCCGTGCTGCGTCCCTTGATTCTGAGCAGACCTGTGGGTCACCTGTCGTGGAGGCCAGAACCCCTACTCATTCCAACCTCCTCATGGGAGCCGCTGGCACTGTGGGACTTGGGGGCATGGAGGGCCTCAGACCCCTGCGGTTCAAACCCCTGTGGTGTCACTCCCAGCACTGCATTGGCTTCGATGTTCTGCTGGGATGAAGGGGGTGCTGGTGTGATCGGGCCAGACTGACTCAGAGACAGCTCAAATTTTCAGTACCTTTCGGGTGGTCATTCTTTTTTGGGGGGGGGGTTAGTCATTCTTGGTGCACCCAAAGTTACTGTGCTGTTGATTCCCCTTTTCTCTTGTTTCCGAAAAAGCCTTTTGAGAGAAGGATGTTTCCCAGCCCTGTTTGGGGAAAGAATGTTCTAGAAGAACTCGGGTGTGGGTGAGAGCAATGTTCATGGAGTAAAAGGAAGTAGCAGGGGCAGCTTGTGGGCTGGATCCAGGGCAGGATTTTGGGGGGCACGAGGTGCTCCCACTCCCTCTCCCTTCACAGTAGGACTCAGAGGGCCATCCTGGGCAGTGCCTTGGTGACCCCGACCTTCCCATTCCCCAGGCTGGTCCTGGGCAGTGCCCTACCACCAGCAGGGCCAGACTCCTGGGCAGGGACGTGCCCTGCTGCCTGTTGAGTGGCACCAAGAATTGCCGGGGCCCTGAGCCTTGGGGACCCGGGAGGCAGGCCTCAGGACTGGGCTTTGGCGGCTCCTCCCCCAGCCTGGCCTCTGGGTTAATGTCGCCTTAATGTTGTGGTCAGGCGGCCACGTGGCTGGGCTCCCTGGGCAGTCAGGCCGCATAATGGACGGCCCAGACCCGCCCTCTGACGGCTCCATTAAATGTGGTCGATTTTTTTTTCTTTTCTGGTTCCCGGTGTTTTAAGCTGAGTGTCTCTGGGCAGGCATTCAAAGCCCCGTTCCAGAGCTAATCTCAGAGGCAGGGCCGAGCAGGCCTGGCTGCATTAAACGGCTAAATCTGGCTCGGGTGGGCGGAGCTCACTCGAGGAAAGAATAGCATCGCTGTGGTCCCGGCCCTTGGTCATGGGGCTGGCTGCTCTCTCCTTGTCCTTCAGGCTGTCAGAGGGAGTGAGCGGGCAGTGGTCGGGGTGCTGGGGAGTGGCCGCCTGTATATGTGGGGCTTGGGGGCTCTGTGCCTTTGCTGTGTGTTTGCAAGGTCGTTGATGACCTTCTCTGGGTGTTGGTCCTCATATCTGGATTCTCTCCTTGGTAGGCCTTTGTATGGGGTAGTATTTGAGAGATCTGGGGTGCAAGACTGCTCCTGGAGAGGAAGCATCCAAGATATTGGGATTGAGAGGAGTTTAAAGGATTTTAGAGCCTGAGGAGAAAGTCCAGGCCAGCCAACAGGGCACAGGGACCAGCAAGGAGGGGCTAGAGGTGGGCAGTGATCCTTGCAGGCCTAGAGGGGGCCAGAAAGGCTAATGACAGAGACTAAAGGGACAGAGGCGCTCAGGCAGGGGTCCAGGAGCCTTTTGGTCTCGTGTGATCTGAGACCTGCCCTCTCTTCCTCAGAGTGGGAATCCCAGACGAGGCCGGCGAGGCTCAAAGCTCAACTACTGGTGGTGGCGAAGAGGCAAAGGTAAGGATGGAGTGACAATACTCAGGATTGAGCCCTAGTGGGACTGGGGCATCGCAACCCCCTGTGCCAGGTGAGGGTCTGGATGGGAGCTGAGCTTGCTGAGAAGCCGCACCCGCCCTCCCACCCCCCCACCCCCTGCCTCAGGTAGGGGTGAGGAGCCAGAGACCCAGGCCGGTATGATGGCAGATCATGCACATAAGATTTTTGGAGAACAAATTTAGTCCCTTATTAGGCAAATGGGCTGGAGCGATAGCACAGCGGTAGGGCGTTTGCCTTGCAAGCTGCTAGCCCGGCCGAGTCGGGTTCAATTCCTCCGCCCCTCTCGGAGAGTCCGGTGAGCTACCGAGAGTATTTCACCTGCACGGCAAAGCCTGGCAAGCTACCCGTGACGTATTTGATATGCCAAACACAGTAACAACAAGTCTCACAATGGAGACGTTACTGAACTCACTTAAGCATATCGATGAACAATGGGAGGACAGTGCTACAGTGCTATTAGGCAAATCGAGGCTCGAAGAGGAACTTGTTGCAAGTCACACAAGACAGTGTGGGAGGAAATGGGGTTTCTAGCTCCCTGGAAAAGGTCCCTCTGGGTCAGGAGCAAGTTTTACTGCCACCACACCAGCTAGTCCCTCGCGCACCTGCACCTGGCCCCTAGTGCCTGTGTGTTGGGGTGCCATTGCTCTGAGGACAAGGAGAGAAGCACTGACCGGAGATCAGTGCTGCTTAGGGCCCAGGGATGGGATTTGACAGGTCATCCTATCATCAGCATTTTGTTTGCTTTGGTTGACTCATTTTTTTCCCCCTGTCACTGTCACTGTCCTCCCGTTGTTCATCGATCTGCTCGAGCGGTAACATTGTGAGACTTGTTTCTGTGTTTGGCATATCAAATACATTACGGGTAGCTTGCCAGGCTTTGCCATGCAGGCGATATACTCTCAGTAGCTTGCCGGGCTCTCTGAGAGGGGCGGAGGAATCGAACTCGGGTCGGCCATGTTGGCTGTATGCAGGGCAAACGCCCTACGCGCTGTGCTATCGCTCCAGCCCCTTTTTCCCCTGAAGGTTCCATATTTGTGTGTGTAAGAGGCACTATTGGTCTAGCAAGGGGGTCCTTCCAGAAGAGGGATTAGTGTTCTGGGCAGTGCTCCAGAGGTTGGCATTCAGGGGTCCCTTTGCCACACTCTCCTGCCCACAACCTGGGTCTGGTCTCATCCTGTCTATTCTCTTGGAATTACCATGAATTCTCCGTCCTCCTGCCAGTCCGTGTCACACTCTCTGAGTCACTCCGGCCCCTCTGAGGCACTCAGTATGCTCATGGGCACCGTCAGCAGGGAGACTGCAGGGGGGGCCCAATGGTGAGGGGCTGGGTTATTATCCCCATTACAGGTGTAACAGCTGTCTACTGTCTTACTGGCTTTCAACAACACCAGTCTATTATTCTTCCAAGTGCCTAGGTCAGAGCTTTCACTGGGCTGAGTCACCGTGTTGGCCTGCTTGTTCCTCCAGACACTGGGGGAGATTTTCCTTGTCTTTTCTAGCTCCTGGAGGCCACCGTATTCCTTGGTTCCTAGGCTCCATATTTCATGCTTAAAGCCAGAAGCCCAGCAGCTTCTCCCCATGCTCTCTGTTGATCTCTCTTACTCCTCCCTCCTTCCTAGAGGGTCAAAGTATTTCAGGGGATAATCCAGAATAGTCTCTGCAACAAATCTTCAACCTACTCACACCAGCCAAGGCTCTTTGCACATGAAAGTGGTGCTGCTCCTGAAGGGGCTCCCCTGGGGGCCATAACTCCTCCAAACGCCAGTGGCAAGGCAGTTTCTGATTTTAAAGCAATCTGGGACTCCCAAGTCCTGTCTCGGCCCGTGCTTGGTTTTCTCTCTCAGTTCTCCCAAGCGAGATCTACAGGCATCATAGCTGCCCTAAGAACTGCTGTGAGCCTTGCTTCCTCATATGTAGAGCAGAGATGATAATTCCTGCCTCCCCGACTCACAGAGAGCACTCCAGATGCCAGGGGTCAGGTCAGGCCACAGTGCCCAGTCCAGAGTGGCCTGCCAATGGGTGACCGCATCTGCTATCATGGTGAGAGTATATAACCTGCCTTCAGCAGGGATCGGACAAGGGTGAGACTTGGGTTTTAACCTGCCCACTCTGCTGTGCCATCCTGGAAACACGAACACGAGGTGAGAAGGGTTCATTGTGCATATGTGCATTGTATATTATTCTAGAAGGGGCTAATTTGGCTACTCAGCCTACAGAGTAAAGCCTGCATGGGTCAGAGTCCATCTGGTCAGCAGTGGACAAGCAGTGTGAATGAAAAAGAATCTGTTGTTGCTACAAGCCACTGAGGTATGGAAGGGATTTGCCACTGTGCCTTAGCCTAACTTGGTCTGATGAATTAAGGGGCCAGACATGCAGCTAGAGAACCAGAAAGACTGACTCTGGTTGGGTGGGAGGTGGGCTAACCTGGGAGATAGTGGAGATGATGAAGGAGCGAAAACTTTTCTTGCTTCATTAAATCTTTATCAAATCTTTATGAAGGATCTTAACCCTGACTGGAGCTAAGCTTGAGTGGCTTCCAGGATGCCTCAGACTTCACCAGAACCATAAAGTTCATTTCTGGGGGCACAACCATGCTGGTTCCCCTGGACTCTGTCTGTCACCTCCAGATTCTGGCTGCTTAACTCTATGCCCACGGGACTGCCTCACTTAAAGGCACAGGCCTCTCTTGCTGACACCAGTATTTGCGTGTGCTATCAGGACTGGAGTTACTTTTTTTAACATTGATGATCAGAAGATCAGCAAATCTTGGTTTCTTCTTGAGCCTGAGACACACTCGAGGAAGCGGAACACTCTAGAAATAAATGACCTATGGGAGAAGGCATACAGATCATGATGAGAAAAGTCTCTCCTAGTGCGTGCTTTCTGCATTACAGTCATCTCTAGATGGACAGGTCAAGACCTGTTATGCTGAGAAGGCAAATTTCTGGACCAAGCCACGCTTACTATTGATAATAGGCAAACTCACCATTTATTGAATCATTGTTGATCAGTTATGTTATACTTACTATTATAGTACATTGTTTGAGCTTTCTCACAACTCAAGGGTTTAGTCACATGAAAAGTGACAAAAGTTGGCTGGAGAAATAGTTCAATGGGCTGAAATGCATGCTTTTCATATGGGGGGTCTAGGTTGGATCCCTGGCACCACTTGGTCCCCCAAATGACCCTTGAGCGTTGAGCACCACTGAATGTGCAAAGTCACAAAAGCATCATGTACTGATGGATAGTTTTAACCATTACCAGAATGTGTAAGGCAGATTGTAAATATCTCCACCAATATGTATTTATCAGTTTTATAGATGAGAAAATAAAGTAATAGAAAATTCTTGTAATGCTAACATTTTTGGATCTGCCAGATTCTGAGGCATTTTTCACCATTTGTCTCATATAACACAACAATCCCTGGACAAAGCTAGCTGTTATCATCCCCTTTTGGGGAGCAAATGTCTGAACCTCAGACACCCAGTTAAATAGCCTGAAGTTACCAAAGATAGCCGAGGCAGAGCTGGGAATTGAGTGCAGATCTGTGGAAACACTTCATCAAGTGTCGCTTATTTGATTTTAGGCCCTGTGTTAGTAGCTGAGATACAGACCCTGACCCCTGGTGGCCACGTTCCCTGGGAGACTATAAGCACAATGAAGCATTGATAAGGCCTTGAGTCTAAAAAACAAGCGCATCTCTATTTTTGCGTTTTAGGAGAGAGGAAGGGAGGCTTGAGTGAAGTCTTGTGAGTCTTTGGCAGCCTGGAGGCACCAAGATGAATGGAAATACCCTGGAAAAGGAATCTCTAGCTCCTACTTCTCCCATTTCATCGAAGGCCTGTGAGCACCTTCTACTGCCCCTACAGTGATACAGGTCAGTGCTTACCTACTCTTGTAGGACTCAGCGTTTTGGGAAGGAAGTCCTGCTCAGGTGTGAGGAAACTTACCAAAGTGGAAAAGAGATCCTATCCTGACTGGGGTCTTTGCGACTGGCTGGCATCTGACCTCTCTGGCCCAGGATCCCACGGAGATTCTCCATTCTCTGTGTTCCAGAGTCACGAGGCTCCTCTAAGGGCCAGTTTTCTCACACCCACAGGTGCACATGAACTCTCTGTTTTCTCTTCTGATCTTAGTTTACTAGTATTTTTTCAAGGAAGCATTCATCAGGCTCATGACAAAGTCATCATCTACCTATCTGATTTCCTTTTGTCATGTAGGATTGTGCTGTGAATAAAATAATAATCTATGAGATTATAATGATAAGAAATAGAATCCTCTTTATTTTTTTTATTTTTGGGACACACCCAGCGATGCTCAGGGGTTACTCCTTGCTCTGCACTCAGGAATTACTCCTGGCGGTCCCTTGGGGGACCATATAGGATGCCGGGGATTGAACTCGGGTTGGCTGCATGCAAAGAAAATGCCCTACCAGCTGTACTATCGCTCTGGCCCCTCCTCTTTATTTTTTTAATTGATCTATTTATTGTTTCTAATGTGTAGTTAGAACAAGCTCAGTTTATAAAGTCAGATGTGAAAAATATGGAGTCTTCTTTATTTTTATGATTCATTAATTTATTTGTTGTTCCTTGCATTTAATATTATACTATGTTCATAACTTGAACTTTATAGTTAAGTTTATCTAGTTAGTGGTTTAAGTTCTTTAACTTAATTCTTCATGAATGCCTTGACTATCTTAACCTCTACATTTTCATTAAAAATTTTAAAATTGGCCAATTTCTTCCAAAAAGTTTGCTAAAATTTAGATTTGGATTGCACTGAGTGTACATATAAACTTATGCAGAATACATAGTTGTATAATATTGAATCTTCTAATCCATGAACATGGTATACTCTTCCATTGTTTTGAGGTCTTTAATTTCTCTGAACATTGATTTGTAGTTTTCTGTGTAGATATCTACTTTAACTTATTTTAGATAAGTTACTTTTATTCTATTATCACTTAATCACTTAATCACTTAACTTCCCGTTCATGCTGACATATATAAATGGTCATATAATTTGCTAAATTTGTCTATATATTTTCATTATTCAAGTGGATTTAAATGAATTTGAATTTTACAAATCTCTTGCTTCTTTATAACCTCTGTGTCTTTTACTTACTTATTTCTCCTTTTGTTTTAGTTTTTAGGCCACAGTTGGATATGTTCAGGGCTTACTACTAGTTCTTGCTCAGGGATCACTCCTGGTGGAACTTGGGGTGAACCCTCCAAGTGGTGCCATATGAAGTGTCAAGGATTAAGTCAGATTTGCTACATGCAAGGCAAGCACCCTATTTGCTGTACTGTCTCTCTGGCCTCTATTTTTTATCTTATTTATTATGATAACCAGTAAAATATTTATTATAAGTATTAATAGTAAATATAATAATCTCAATAATCTCAGGGGAAGCTTCTAAATAATTTTCCACGATGTAGAATGTTTCTTATAGTTTTATAGAGTTCTTTAAATTTTTTTGCTAAGAATTTTAAAAATCATGAATGGGTGTTATAGATGATCATTTTTGCAAATAACTTTTATTTATTGAGATAATTATGATTTTTGTCTTTAATTTTCTCTATTAATAAGATCAATGATAACAATTGGTTTTTAAATGTTAAACCAAACTTCTCTGTGAGAAAAAAGTCTAACTTGACTGTGACTATAATAATCTGTATATGTGTAGATTTTGTTTGCATAGATTTTGACAAAGACTTTTGCATCTTATTTAATATTTATAAGAATTATTTAAGAGGCATAAGTATTACTTTCACTTTTAAAATATTAGTTAATTCAAAAATTTTTGAGGAGTTAATCATGAGAGAGAATAGCTTATAATTTTTCTTTCTTGCAGTGTTTTTATATTGGGGTTATTTTGGCCTAAAATATGTTAGAACATTTTGTTTTAATAATGTATTCTTTTGGTAAGTTAATAAAAATTGTTATAAATATAACAATTGTTATTTATATTTATATAAGGTAAAGGTAAAGACAAAGGCCCTCCCGTTGTTCATCGATTTGCTCGAGCGGGCCCAGTAACGTCTCCATTGGAGACTTTATTGTTACTGTGTCTGGCATATCGAATATGTCACGGGTAGCTTGCCAGGCTCTGCCGTGCAGGCAAGATACTCTCAGTAGCTTGCCGGGCTCTCCCAGAGGGGCGGAGGAATCGAACTCGGGTCAGCCATGTTGGCTGCATGCAAGGCAAACGCCCTACCGCTGTGCTATATTATATTTATAATATATAAAAATTATAATAATATTTACATATATAACAGTTATAACTTAGTGATTGTTATAATTACTCCCTTACATGTTTAGAAGAATTTATCACTGAACCCGTATATGTTTAACTTTTTCTTTTTGAGGGGTTGGAGAGATTGTACAGTGGTTAGGACACTTGCTTTGCAAGCAGCCACCTTGGGTTCAATCTCCAGCACCCTATATAGTTTGCCAAACCCTTTCAGGAGTGATCCCTTTGCAGAGTCAGAAGCAACCCCTGAGCACTGCCACGTGTGGCCCCGAAATAAAGAAAATTCATATTTTCTTTTATGAGACTTTATGAAAGGAACGTATTTCCTTAAATATATAGGATCATCAAGTTACATATTTCTTCTTTTGTAATATTTTACTAGTTGGGTTATTTCAAACATTTCTTCAGTTCATATACAAGATAAAATTTATTACTATGAAAACTGACATCAATTTTTCAATCTTTAAAATATTTGTAAGCTTTATTTTTTTAATGTAGGAGTATTACTATTTTATTTTTAAACTTTAAAGTTTCGGATTTGAATTATTTTTCTCCCACTAAAGCAGCTTAAGGACATTCTACAAAGCTTTACTAGGTCGTAAGAACATTCATGTCATTCAGTTATTTTTACTCTGGAATCTTGCTACTTCCCGGGTTTCTCCCATGATGAGGTTGATATATTTTTCACATTCTATGAATCTGGTAAAGTTATCTGGGCATAATATTTCACTCACGGGAAATATAGTGGGGTCCACCTTTTTAGATTCCCCAAGCTCTAGACTACTCTTCACTGTGCTGACTCTCCCCAAGCCTCATCACCACCCCGCTGCCTAGACACACACACACACACACACACACACACACACACACACACATACACATACACGTACACACAGAGCAGAGTTATGCTTACATCCACCCAAGAATAATCTGAGGATGAGACAGGTTGTTTTCATTCCTTACCTAATCCTTATCTATTTTGAAATTTGAAAACCAGATAGACATTCCTGTTTTCTCTTTCTGCTGTCTCATTGTTAGGAACTCAGTTAGATAGAGCTGAGGTTTGGAAAGTAGGCAGGCAGATGTCAGTATAACACTCCATCCTTCCCAGTCTCAGTCTCCCTGACTGTAAAACAGAGGTATAGATGTTATCATGCCTTGCTCACACAGAGTATGATGTCACAAAGCAATGGATGCTCAGAAGCTTCCACTGGAAGAATGTGGACTTTACTGAGAATGATGACAACAGTTCAAAGGGGGCATAGAACACTCACATACAATTTATGTAATAACAGTAATAAATGATGTATTAACAATAATAAGTGATGCAATATGTAATAATTGAATAAAATAAACTGTAAAAAATAATTGCCTTCTATTATCAGGCAGCAAAGGAAATTGATGTAGACATTGAGATTTCTTTTATGTCTCCGTATCTCTTTCAAGAAGTAACCAATGTATTGCATTTTTTACTAATCATTCTCTTTAAATATATCTTTAGTCCTTAAAAAGACACTCTAAACAGAGTATTATTGAGCCTTATTATGATTATTATTTTTTATTAAATCATCCCTTCACCCACCACCAATTGTGCCCTGTTCCCCTCCTTCAAACTCCCACCCCAGTCTGCCTCTACAGCACTTTCCTTCTCTCTCTCTCTCTCTCTCTCTCTCTCTCTCTCTTTCTCTCTCTCTCTCTCTCTCTCCTTTTAGGCATTATGGTTTGCAATACAGGTTATCATGTATATCCCTTTACCTGCTTTCAGCACTCAATTTTTGTCCAGAGTGATCATTTCCAACTACCATTGTCATAGTGGTACCTGTACTGAGATTTATTATGTTATATTGTATGACTTTTATTCTTCATTGTGTTGTGGAATCCATGTGTTTGTGTCTAGTTATGATTTATTTTTACTGATGTATAATATTTCTCTGTAAAAATATACCACAATGGATTTATCTATTTTATATTGAAGGACATTTGGAAGGACATTTCATTGGATTATTTTGATTACTACTACTATGACTATTCTTGTAGATACTTCCATACCCTATCTATAAATTAATGCAGGCCAAAGATTTTCTTTAGGCACAGAATTGTCCAGTCCTAGGGTGTATCTAATTTTAAAATATTTTATTAAAATTTCTTTTGTTTATTTTGGCCACACCCAGCTGTGCTCAGGGCTTACTCCTGACTCTGTGTTCAAGGATCACTCTTGGCAGGGCTTGGGGGATCACATTCAGTGCTGGCAATGGAACCAGAGTTGGCCATATGCAAGGCAAGAATCTAAACCTACATACTATCTCTACAGACCTAATTTAAAAAGATTATTTACAAGATGTATTAATTTTCTATAGTTTCTGTGATACAAATGACCACAAACTCAGTGGATCTAATAAAGAAAAAACCCACCTCTATATTTATTATCTTATACTTCTGAAGAGGGACACCCCAAGTGGAACTCAGTGGACTTGAGTCAGGGTATTATCAGGACATTGCTCCTTTTGGAGGCTCTACAGAAAAATCTGGTACTTTGTCTTTCCAAACTTATAGCAGCTGCTTGCATTCTCCTACCTTCAAAGGCAACACCTTCATATTTGTTTCTGATTCTAGGGCCTCCCTCCTCCCTCCAAGTCCTTGTCATCATATAGGACCTATCGAGATAATCCAGGACAATATCCTCATCTTGAGGTCAGCTGATCAAACTGAATTCCACCATAGTTTCCTTAATTATGTAACCTGACACATTCATGGATTTTAGCATTTAAGATGTGGGCCTCTTCAATAAAGTATTGTTGAAGTGACATCTGCACTTGTTTGTTCATTGCAGCGCTGTTTACAATAATCAGAATCTGGAAAAAACCTGAGTGCCCGAGAACAGATGACTGGTTAAAGAAACTTTGGTACATTTACACAATGGAGTACTGTGTAGCTGTTACAAAAGATGAAGTCATGAAATTTACTTATAAGTGGTACTACACGAAAAGTATCATGTTAAGCGAAACGAGTCAGAAAGAGAGGGATAGATATAGAAAGATTGCTCTCATCTGGGGAACATAAAGTAACAAAATAGGAGACTAACACCAAAGAGTGGCTGAGATTAGTACCAGGAATTTTGCTCCATGGCTCGGAGGCCAGGCACACATGCTAGGGGGAAAGGGAACTCAGATAGAGAAGGGAGCACCAAATAAAGGGTGTTGGGAGGATCCTCCCAGGATGGGAGAAGCATGCTGAAAGTAGAATATAGACCAAACATGATTGCGACTCATTGCCTCTTTTGCAAACCACAACACCCAAAAGGAGATAGAGAACAAAAGGGAATGCCCTGCCACAGAGGCAGGGTGGGATGAGGGTGGGGGGGAATGAGGGGTGGGAGGGATACTGGAACCCGTGGTGGTGGAAAATGGGCACTGGTGAAGGGATGGGTACTTGATCATTGTATAACTGAAACCCAAGCAACAATAATTTGTAAGTTTACAACTGTACCTCATGGTGTTTCACTAATAAAAATTTTTAAAAAATAAAATAAACAAACCAAAAAAAAAAAAAAAGATGTGGGCCTCTTGGTAGGGGAACATTGTTCTGCCTACCACATTAGATAATGCAAAATTGTTTTCTGTGTCTGTTTTGCTTATTTATTCTTTCTTTAATAAAGGTTCATTCTTCTTATTCCTGCCAAAAACATTTATCACATTTTAAATTTATTATTATTATTTTGAGGAGGGGTTGGGCCAGGATTGGCCCCTGGCAATTCTGAGGGACAATATATGATATGGGGAGGTCAGCTGCATGTAAAAAGGTGACTTTACCCCTATACTATCTTCTCAATTCTTAAATTTATCTTATAATAATTTATATTTTGATTTTTTAGGAGGCATTATACCAGCAGTATTTCAGGGCCATTCCTGGCTGTGCTTGGGGGACCATACAATGTTGGAGATCAAACCTGGAACTCCCACATGCAAATTATGCACCTGACCTTTTGAGTCATGTCCCTGGCCCTAACTTCTTAGTTTTGAAACAGTTTGAACCTCACAGGAAGTTGCAGAAGTAGTATATAAGTGTACTCTTATCCAGTTTTACATCCACTGAACCCCTTTTTTCTTCCGTCCTGCATTCATCCTTCATATTTTCCTATTTTTGTTGCGTATACATATAATCCTTTGAAATTTGATCACATGCATGGATTTGAGTAAGTATCACTCAATCAGGATAAAGACCCATTTTAAATCCTAAGCATTCAAATCTTAAGTATCATAAGAAGGCCAGTCTCAGGCGCCTCATGTGGATAGCGGCTCAGAGCCCGGGAATGTTCTAGGGTGAGGCCGCAAGGGAGACAAGGAAAAGGATCAGGGTACTTGAGGTGCAGATTCGCTGAGAGACAATCCTGCCCAGAGGTGTCCTGGTGAGGAACACCTGAGCCAAGTCCTCCCTCGTGCACCTGAACTTGCAGACAGCAGGGAGAAGCGACGGCTTTAACTCTCCAGATTAATCCTGCTAAGTTGCAACAATATTGATATCCTATTATTTTCCATCTTTATTCATCCCCCGGCGAAGAAAGAACGACTCCCCCCAGGCCATTCTTAATTGAAAAATGCTTTTAAGGCCTTTACGAGTTGAATACTAAAGTTTGCGAGGTGCCTGCTTTATTGGGCCTCCAGTCACCGATGATACATTTGCTCCCTAATGTTCTTTAAGGAAAGGAGCTCGAGCGGCGTGATGGATGGACTGATCGGGATCAATGCTCGTTAGTGACTCCAGGGGCCAGGCGAACCTGGGCTGCTCGCTTGGGGAGAGACTGACCCGGGACGAGAAAGAGACAGGGACAAGTCTGTCAGCTGTCAAGTGCCTGGGAGTGTGGCTTATCATTGATTGATTGATTGAGTCATTGATTCATTCATGCAACAGATTTTACTGTGTCCTCTCTCTGCTAGGCCCAGTGGTGGGAACAGAATGGATCAGATCCTGCCCTGCCCTGAGTTGCTCTCTGCACACGCACACACCTAAGGACCAAGGTTTATGTCTAATGAGGGAGGGTGCCTGGGACCCAGGAGCGTGAAAGATGGGGCTAGTTTTACATGGGGGTGGGGGGCGGGTTGGTAACCAGGAGAAGCTTTGTGTTGGAGATGACACTTCAGTGGCATGCAGAGATATCTGTGGCAGGAACGAAGGACCTCACTGGGGTGGGGAAGGTGTTCCCATCAGAGAGAGCAATTTAGGCAAAGGCATGGGGGCATGGTTGAGTCTGGAGGCTGGAGATGGACTCCTGATTTCTTAGATGTGTCTCGTGGTTTCAGAGGAGGCCAAACCTGCAGTCCCTTGGATCTGTAGAATTCCAAGCAGAAATAAAATATCCTCAGAAACCCCCACCTCAGGCCCTGGTAGGTCTGGCGTGTATCCAAGGCCTGAGACTACAAAGCTTCGGCAATGACCTTGGGCCTTTGGTTGACAACGAATGCAAATGTAGGCTTATTACAGGAAACTAGAAATCACTCTGGCTCCCAAGCTCCAATAAAAGCTTCATGCTGGCTCACACACAGCTCGTCAGTGACACAGGTGGAGGACAGGGAGGGGACATCATCATACAAAAATTTTGAGTGGGTGATAGGAGCAGGTGAATGCCCATGGAACATGCCAGAGAGGACTTTTTGTTTGCACCCTGCCCTTTAATCGCTAGCTGCCTTGGTTCATGCGCCCCCATTTTGCAACCACGCACCCCTATTTTGCAGATTATGCACCTCCATTTTGCAAAGGAGGGAATGGAGAACTTAGGAGTGAGGAAACTTGCCCCCACAAGGGTTGGGGGCAGGATTTAAACCCAGATTCCTTTTTCAGTTTTATATTTCAAAGTCCCTGTGCTTATGACTGTGCTGGGCTGTCCTCTCAGGAGCCTCCCTCAAAGAGACACCATTAGCTAGGCACAGGGCAACTGCTCAGCCCAGGGCCTAACCACTGCCCACACTGTTAAAGTTGTGCCAGGCCATAAAGTAACCAGGGCAGCCCAGTTCTCTGTTGTCCCCTGAGGAGCTACTGCTCAGCATCTGTATGAAGATATGGGGGTGCTGGGTGTGGTAAGGGAAGCACAGCTGATGGGGTGGAGGAGAGGATCCAGGCTTCAATTCTGCTTCTATAGAGTCTGCTGAGGGTCCTGGGGGGTGTCTGAGTGTGGCACAGGCCTGACAGGGCTAACATGAGGCTGGGAGGTATCCAGACCTTTGGCCCCGCTGCTGCTCACAGGGCTGGTGTCTCAGGTGTGCATTTGGGATTCGAGGCCCTTCTCTGGAGGGAGAGCCTTGGCCTATGCAGAAGCAGCTGATGATGGTGTTACGTGCCTCCATCGTCCAGGTTCCTGATGAGACTCGGGGAGTCCCTGGAAGCAGCAAAGCACCTGGCCTGGGCTCTCTGGCCATCCACTATGGAGGCAGTGGTGCTCCGTCCCAGCCTCCTGGCTACCTCTCCTCTTCCCCAAAATACTACATGCCTCACTCTGGCCCTTGTTCAGAACGCTGGGAGGGAGCTTCCTTGTCCATCCAGTTTAGCTAAGCGTCACCAACCCAGAGAGAAGCCCCAGTGTAACATATCCCAGCCTCAGCCATGTCAACCTGCTCCACAACTTCAGACTCTCACCTCTCAGAAATCTCCATGTGTGTATGTGTGTGAGTGTGTGGGTACATGAGAATGTGTGAGTGTGAGTGTTAATGTGTGTGAGAGTGAGTATGTGTGTGTCTGAATATGTGAGTGAGGAGAGTGTCAGAATATATGTGAGAGTGTGTATGAGAGGGTGTATTTGTGAGTATGTGAGAATGTGTATGTTTGAGTGTGTGAGTGTGTGAATATGTGAGAGAGTGTCAGAATATATGTGAGAGTGTGTGAGTGGAGAATGTATGAGTGTGTATTTGTGAGTGTGAAAATATACGAGCCTGTATGTGTGTGTTTGAGTGTGTGTGTATATCTGAACGTGTGTGTGGATGTGGGTGTGAGTTAAGAGAGTGAGCAAGTATGTGAGTGTATGTGAATGTGTGTGTGTGTGTGTGTGTGTGTGTGTGTGTGTGTGTGTGTGTTTATTTTCTAGTAGCCATGAGACCTCCTTTCCGAGGCCAGCCCAATTACTAATGATGAAAGAGGGCATGAATGAATCATGATGTGACACCCAGACTTTGAAGGGTCTCTGTGGCTCGGTGATTAAAGGTGAAAACATAGTTTAATACCCTGATCTGCCACTTACTAGCTGAGTGATGGTAACAAGGGGCCATATTCTCTGGGCCTCTGCTCTCTCATCTGGAAATTGGGCAGGCAACTGCTTCCCCAGGACCTTTGAACATGCAGATGAGGGTCAGGGCAGAATGTGGCACGCAGTGGAGCTCCATGACTGGTAGCTGAGAAAACGCTGGACCCAAGAAGGCCTACTGGGGAAGGGGCTGGACAAGGCAGGCTGGGTGACCTGAGCTCTGGGCTACACAGTATTCTTTTCTCTGAGACACAAGAGACTCTTTTTAAAAATTATTATAATTAAACCTCACAAGAAGTGCTCCGAAGGCCCAGAAGTTCCTCCTCAGTGATAACCAGGCCACCCCAGGGATACTTCGGGGTCCTTAAGGCTGCCCCCAGGAGTAGGAGGTGTTAGTGATTGTAATCTCTGTCCTACCTGCCCCCTCCCCCATCCCCACCCTCTCTCTCTGAGATGACTCATTTTCATGGAGCTACAGGAAAAAGAGGCTGTTTGAGGAGGTGTTTCAGAGCTGAGAGGACAGGACTGCACCCTGAGGAGT